GTTTACCCATCTTGGTTCCTTTGTAAAATGTCAGTATAAACATGAACCGGACTACAATAACAATGCCACAATGTAGGCCTATACATTTTCCCCCCTAGTCCAGACAGGACATACCGAACTACAGTGTGAAAGCAGCTCGCAGCCTGTGTGCTGTATTTCGGTTTGCCTCGCTGTCTTCCTAACAATTAAAGTGTGAAAAAAGTGCCCCACTAGAAGTCTTCACCCCCTCTGCCCTGAGCCATCAGCTTCATGCCTTCTGCTACTGCAATTACTATAACGTTATTTATTAGGCACCTTATAAATATTAAACTAATAACAGCAATCCGAATAACAGGCAAATAGTGGTAAATAAATAATTGCAAAAGATGAGTAAAAGTAATCTGAATTTATTAAAATATTTGACAGCAATTATAAAATAACATAATAATATAATAGCATATCATTGGTTTCACACATTACACTGTTTCCTGCAACTGAGTCTAAATTAGTTTATCACTCAAAACCAGATCTCAATTAATACAGTTGCTGGTATGTTGCAATAAGAACTGTCTACTGAACCGCAAAGTTTACTTGAGCACCTAAATGTAGTTAGGCTAAAAGAAACCATTTCATAATTTAATTCAGAACTGTCTTTTTTTGTTTTTTGTATATATAGTCATCTTACACTGTATTTCTTCAATAAATATTTTTGTCGTTTCAGTTTTCATTATTTACCACAACCGTTTAAAGGAGGTAGTAAACTTATGTTCATTTCAACTTGTTTATCTCACATGTCTGACAACTGCCAAAATGTTTTTCATCTATAGATGTAAACTTCAGGGCTACTAACCAATTCCAGTTAAGCCTTTCTGACATCAGTGCTTAATATTCTGGAGAGGGATTGTGCTGTAAAGACGTACAGTAGCTATAAGACACAAATATAGACTCACTAAATAGGAAGAGCACCTCACTAGGAAGTAAGGATCTCACACAGTGAAAATCTACTTTATCAAAATACTGTTTTTTTGTTTGTTTGTTTTTTAAATATTTTTTCATCCCTCCCTGTGGTTCCTGCTCATGGACTGAACGAAGAACTGAAATAGTGCAAGTTTGTATTGCAAGTAGTGCAAGACCGTCTGGCGGGCTGTCATCTTGGCGAGGTCACCTTAGCTCTAAGTTTCATTTCTGTCATCATATTGAACTACAGAAGAGTTTGCTTTGGCGGAGGTGGTCTTTATCGGCCTCTGGTGGCGACCCGTAGGAGCTACATAGACATCCAGGATATGTATGGATTTGTCTCGTGGAGAGCAATAAAAAGAGCCCACTTGTAGGATGTTCTGTTCTCAAGCTGTGGCCTGTAAAGCACAGGAGTGCTTTTAGTCACAGGAATATTGACTGTTTTTATCAATAATTCAATGTTTTGAAAGCTTTGTTATTTGGAACATGTTTGTATGGAGAGAAATAATGTTTTGAAGATCACTCTCAATAAAAGTGAACATATAAAGAGTAAATATGGCCAAAACATGGACATTTGCCTGGTATATTTTTGAAAGATTGTGTAATAACTGTTGTATATCAGTTTCTTTTCATCAAATTTACAGTTGTATTCCAGGTGTATTAGAAGATATTCAGGTGCATTATAATCTACCTTATGATGGTTTTGATGGTTTATTGCATTAAAATATAGCTTTTTTTTTTTTTTTCAGGCAAGGATGAAAATCATCTCTATGTAGTCCGTAATGGTAAAATTAATTTTAATGTACAATGATTTATGTTCCTTAGCTTCTGACCTTTCAAAGGAGACCAGAATTATGCATCTAGACCTAATGGTTGAGGAGTTATTACGAATTTATTTTGTGTATGTTATTTTAGGCGTTTTTCCTGGAAATAGGTGCCAGGTTTCATAAGAGAATGAAAATGTGTGAGTGAAAATATATGCATGTGAAAGGAGAATAAAGGTATGTGAGAGGTCCAGAATAGATTATGACTTGTACGGCTCCTCATAAACAACCCACAACAAGCACATTGAGGTAAAACCCTCTCGGCAGAATCGCAGGTGTTCTGTATGCAGTGCTGCTGAATCACTAACTGTGTCTGAACGGGAGGGCTCGTCACAGATGAGGTGATCAGGTGAACGCTCATAATGTGGGTCATTTTATTTATTGCGAAATTATTATTCATTCATTTTACTAATAGTTTGATTTGGCAGGCCTTCACAAAAGGGCCTTTACAAATTTAAAAATTAATAAATTAATTTAATTTTTCTTTGACAAAAGGGCACTTTGGTCATCAAAGGGCAAAAGGGCAGGTGCTCAAGCACCCTTCGCACCCCCCTCTGCACGAGTATGTTTAAAGGTATTTTAAGGGGTAAAAAGTACTACATCAGTTATAATCTGTCAAATATAACTTCTGAATGAAATCAAGTCCTTTTGAGACAGAATCTACCTTTCAGTCAAGCTGCAATCACTTTCTGACAAGTGGAATACTGCATTACAGGTTGTATTGGCCATTTTAGTATTCCAACAGGTAAAAGGTAGGCTACTGGATTGGTTGTTACACAGCATTAGTCATAAGGATACTTGCAAAAGAGATGATGTCTTTATTTTATATATAATTCAGCATTAAGTCATGTTAATTATAGACTAAATTCCGTTTTCCAAATATAAACAAGCCTACCAAACACATAATCCATCTGCAACAACAGGCTTCTATTATTGGCTATGATCACATAAATGTCATGCCTGGTTACGCTATAAACTGCAAACACTTATTTGGCCACAATTGTGATTATTCCGTTAAAAGAAGCGTTAAAGTATCATTAAGACATACATTTGCTATTACCACGACAATAAGTGATGTTTATTTGCACGTTTTGTCCGTTTTATCCAGATAAAAGCAGCTGTCCAGATAAAAACACCACTCTAGACTAGACAACAGTAGTGGCCTTATAATATAATATAATAATAAATAATAAAAAACAAATATAAATAAATACATTCACCAAATAATGCATTGAGTTCATAAACTCAAGGTGAAATATTCAAATTTACCATAAAACATAGAATACATGAAAACTGAAGTTATTGCTCTGGGGCCTAAGCACCTCCGTGACGCATTATCTAAAGATATAGTTTCCCTTGATGGCATCGCCCTGGCCTCCAGCACCACTGTGAGGAATCTTGGAGTTATCTTTGATCAGGACATGTCGTTTAAGTCTCACATTAAGCAAATTTCAAGGACCGCCTTTTTTCACCTACGTAATATTGCAAAAATCAGGAACATCCTGTCTAAAAATGATGCAGAAAAACTAGTCCATGTATTTGTTACTTCTAGGCTGGATTACTGCAATTCTTTATTATCAGGCTGCTCGAAAAAGTCCATTAAGACTCTTCAGCTGATCCAGAATGCTGCAGCACGTGTTCCGACAGTAACCAGGAAAAGAGATCATATTTCTCCTGTTTTAGCTTCTTTGCATTGGCTTCCAGTAAAATCCAGAACAGAATTTAAAATCATTCTTCTTACCTACAAAGCTCTTAATGGTCAGGCACCATCTTATCTTAAAGAGCTCATAGTACCTTACTACCCCACCAGAGCACTGCGCTCCCAGAATGCAGGGTTACTTGTGGTTCCTAGAGTCTCCAAAAGTAGACTAGGAGCCAGAGCGTTCAGCTATCAAGCTCCTCTCCTGTGGAACCAGGTTCCAGTTTGGGTTCAGGAGGCAGACACCATCTCCACATTTAAGAGTAGGCTTAAGACTTTCCTCTTTGATAAAGCTTATAGTTAGGGCTGGCTCAGGTGAGTCCTGAACCATCCCTTAGTTATGCTGCTATAGGCCTAGACTGCCGGGGGATTTCCCATGATGCACTGAGCTCCTCTCTCCTCTACTTTCTCTCCCTCTGTATGCAACCTCATCCCATTAATGCATGTTACTAACACAACTTCTCCCCTTTCTGGTAGTCTTGTGCTTTCTCGTCTCTCTCCTCTCTCCTCCTATCACTTCCTGCAGGTTTTCTGGCTCTGGAGCTGTGGAGTCTGGATCTGTGTGCAACAACTATTGTTACTAGTCCTATTGTTATTATTGTAATTATAATCATTAACATTACGATTGTTATCATTAACACTACTATAAATATCTGTGCCATTTTTCATTTAGTCTATAGCAACATCACCTTTACTGTCTGTACCTCTGTGTGTATATTGTGTAGGCTGCCTCCCTCCCCTCTCTCTCCTTCCATCCCTCTCTCTCTCTCTCTCTCTCTCTCTCTCTCTCTCTCTCTCCCCTCTCCCCTTCACCCCAACCGGTCGAGGCAGATGGCCGCCCACCCTGAGCCATGGTTCTGCTCGAGGTTTCTGCCTCTTAAAAGGAAGTTTTTCCTTGCCTCTGTCGCCTAGTGCTGCTCTTGGTGGGAACTGTTGGGCTTCTGTAAATAACATCATAGAGTACGGTCTAGACCTGCTCTTTTATGAAAAGCGCTGTGAGATAACTGTGATTTGGTGCTATATAAATAGAATTTAATTGAATACATGCATTCACAGAATAAAATTTGCCCAACACTTTGTACAAAAACTCAGAATTAACATTTTATGAATGAAATCAGTAACTCACTGTTCTACTGTGCAGTGTGCGTCCTCAGGACACGCCCACACACACACCCCAAGAACTCAACACGTTACTCCCCTCTAAGTCAGTGGAAACATATGAAACAAACATTTACAGCGTCAGTATACACCAATATAATGTGATTTTGTTTGTTAATACACTTCATTGTCACTCACGCTTTCGCCGTTGGTCAGAGTCTCTTCCCCTCGTGGCGAAGATACACACACACTCACTCGGCTGTCAATCGTCGGGAATCAGCTGGGACACCTAGGTCTTCATGCATCTACCTTGGTCCACGAGTTGGTTAACTCTTTCGTCTGCCGATCTTAAGGATTATTACTGTACTTTACCATGGGTTATGGAGATATCTTCCTTATGTTAGGTTTATGTTAACTGGACCCAAAAGCACGACAGAGCAGAATAGAGGTTTCTCAGTTGAGAGAGAGTTTATTGTAGACACAATAGTTAGTTCACTGAGGCGAGGGAGGTGATCCAGGTCCAGACAAAGAGATGGAACAGGGTGTAGGCTGAAGCGGCGAGTGGGAAGCAGGTGACCAGGCAGGCAGTTCCAGGAAGTCTGTGGGACGAGGATAAACACACAGAGACTAGTTTACGCAAGGGGAAAGATCACAAAACAGGTCTTCAAAGGTTGACTAGCCAAGGTGAGTACCACTAGAGATACGCAGACAATCTGGTGAATACTGGCGTGCTGGACCCGGGTATATAACAGGTGGTTGATGGGAATGAGGTGCAGGTGTGTAGAGACACAGAGTGTAGGAGCCAGGGAGAGAGCCACGGCCACCTGCAAACCAAGCAGACTCACAAGGAGAAACAGACAGACAGGTACAATAGGATGGGGGAAACAGTGGAGAACAAAAAATTATGCAAAAGATTATGCAAAATTATTCAGCCCCTGTACTTTCAGTGCAGCAAACTCTCCAGAAGTTCAGTGAGGATCTCTGAATGATCCAATGTTGACCTAAATGACTAATGATGATAAATAGAATCCACCTGTGTGAAATCAAGTCTCCGTATAAATGCACCTGCTCTGTGATAGTCTCAGAGGTCCGTTTAAAGCGCAGAGAGCATCATGAAGAACAAGGAACACACCAGGCAGGTCCGAGATACTGTTGTGGAGAAGTTTAAAGCCGGATTTGGATACAAAGAGATTTCCCAAGCTTTAAACATCCCAAGGAGCACTGTGCAAGCGATAATATTGAAATTGAAGGAGTATCAGACCACTGCAAATCTACGAAGACCCAGCCGTCCCTCTAAACTTTCAGCTCAAGGAGAAGACTGATCAGAGATGCAGCCAAGAGGCCCATGATCACTCTGGATGAACTGCAGAGATCTACAGCTGAGGTGGGAGACTCAACAATCAGTCATATACTGCATAAATCTGGCCTTTATGGAAGAGTGGCAAGAAGAAAGCCATTTCTTAAAGATATCCATAAAAAGTCTTGTTTAAAGTTTGCCACAAACCACCTGGGAGACACACCAAACATGTGGAAGAAGGTGCTCTGGTCAGATGAAACCAAAATCGAACTTTTTGGCAACAATGCAAAACGTTATGTTTGGCATAAAAGCAACACAGCTCATCACCCGGAACACACCATCCCCACTGTCAAACATGGTGGTGGCAGCATCACGGTTTGGGCCTGCTTTTCTTCAGCAGGGACAGGGAAGATGGGAAGATGGATGGAGCCAAATACAGGACCATTCTGGAAGAAAACCTGATGGAGTCTGCAAAAGACCTGAGACTGGGACGGAGGTTTGTCTTCCAACAAGACAATGATCCAAAACATAAAGCAAAATCTACACTGGAATGGTTCACAAATAAACATATCCAGGTGTTAGAATGGCCAGGTCAAAGTCCAGACCTGAATCCAATCGAATCTCACTGGCCCATATGGTACCACCAAGCACAGACCCACCTACCCAGAGCCAACATAATAAGCCACCTGATCCCCCGTAGCCCGAGTCATTGGTGTCAACGTGCGCGCAATCAAAAATGGTGCAACATGGGAGGGCAGAGAACCGACCCATGTGTAAGGGTCGGGGACCGGATGGGGGGGCCCAGCAGCTGTACAGGTGCAAACAAGGTCACGACAGCGACCGCATCAGTTGTGCACAGAGTAGGGCTAGCGTGAGCGTGAAAGCTCCCCACTGTCCGTATGGGAGAACTCCCAGAGGACAATCACTCAGACAGAAGGTGAGTCAGCGAGAATCGGGAGTAAAGAGCACGGGGAAGACCAGGAGGCCGCCGTGCAGATTTCATGACAAGCCACTTTGCAAAGACACAGAGGAGGAGATGCTGTCGGGATGAGATAAACCGGCTGACACGTAGGCCTGTGAGATAGCCTCGCACTGCCAGTGAGAAAGGCGCCGCGCCGACAGGGGAAGCCCCTTGAACTATTCCCTGCAGTGCACAAACAGGTGCTGTGAACGGCGCCCGGCGGCCGTGCGAGCTACATCGCAGGAGAGCGCGCGCATCGGGCAGAGGAGGTGAGACATGGATTCATCCTCAGACCCATGGGGGGAGGAAAGAAGCCCGAGAGAGTAATCACCCACGAACAGAAGTAGCTGGTGATGCTCGTAGGCATGAAGGCTGGATTAGGGCGCAGGACAGCGGAGCTGCTGTCAACCTGGATCTGGAGACATGATGGAGCCACAGAGAGGGCAGCCAGATCGCTGACCCTCTTGGCCAACGTCATGGCGATGAGCAGAGCAATCTTGGCTGAAAGGAACCACAGGTCCACCTTCTTCAAGGGCTTGAAAGGGGCTTGGGTCAGGGCATGTAAAACTAGTGGCACCGAAGCCTTAGTGGCAGGATGATATGTAGGTATGTATGTATGTAGGTTTTCACCGTACTGAAAGCAAGGCCTCTGTCTGTGAGCAGCTGGATGAACAAAAGCAGCGGACAGGCTACAGGGTCCAACTCCTCAGTAAGAGGACTGAGTAGAAGTGGCTCTGGACCCCTAGATGGTGCACACCTAAACTCTCCAGATGCCGCCACTCAGCGGCTGGCCAAGGAGCGGATAACTCCTGATCGCGTCTCCCGCCTGAGAGAAGGCATCCCCTCTCCAGGGAAGTTTCCATGGCTGACCTGACAGCAACCGCTGGAGGAAGGGAAACAAGGACAAACAAGAGGAGCGAAGTGTCGGAATACTTTCCACACTATGAGAAGCTCCAACACATTTATGTGGAGAGGCATGTGAGCCCACCACAGACCGCCAGCCCATCAGGGAGGCTTCTGTGAAGACCACTGCAACGGCTCCAAGGTCAGAGAGCCAGAGAGTAACCGAACGGCAGGTGGTTGTACTGATACTGGACGCCCCGGAAAGACAAGTGAGAGAAGCGCAAGAACTTCCTGTGTGCTGGGATGATGGGAACGTGAAAATAGGCGTCCTTCAGGTCGATGGAGGTCAGCCAGTCCCCCTGGCGCACATACTCCAGCACCTGCTTTAACGTCAACATGCAAAAAAGTCTGTCCATAATCGCTGTGTTGAAACGTGACAGGTCCAATATGGGTCTCTCCCTCCCCCCCCGTTTTTTTCCTGCAGGAGTAGATCCCCTGGGCGTAGACAAAATTTTAGCAGTGCCGCACAGGCATGCGTAGGGGTAAACCCAATAGCAATGGCCTTAGGGGGCGAAGCCTACACGAAATAGAACTTGGCCTGAAGTGGTTATTCGCATGTGACAGCTTATGGTAGATGACTATTCAATTCACGGGAAACAGCTCTGGTGGACATTCCTGCAGTCAGCATGCCAATTGCACGCTCCCTCAAAACTTGCGACATCTGTGGCGTTGACATCTGTCAGCATCTTGATATTCCACACCTGTGAGGTGGATGGAATCTCGGCAAAGGAGAAGTGCTCACTAACACAGATTTTGACAGATTTGTGAACAATATTTCATAAAAATAAGACTTTTGTCTAAATAGAGAAAGTTTGAGTTCAGCTCATGATGAATGGGGGCAAAAACAAAAACGCTTGCCTGGATTAGAACCACCATGTCAATAGGCCAGCCTGGAGAAAAGCTTATGACACAGTTCAGTATGTTGCATTATTAGTAGTCCTATGCATTTTACTCTTACTCTTTACTATTTATAAGTGAGTCAAAAAATATTAAACAGTATGAGGAATATAGACAGATGGTGCTGATTTATTGGTTTGATTGCATTTTTTAAGGAAATGCTAACTACTGTATAAGAGAACAATGACGATGAAGTCCAAGAAGTGGACCTTGTACTCATAAAGGTGGAGGAGGACTACAGTTACATCACAGACCTCCAGAGTGCTATCCTCCTCCTCCAATGGTTGTCTGCTACTGAAGATGCCTAGAAGCAGAACTAGGAGACCTGATGATTCCAGGGGGTTCTGTCAGATGTCCCTGCCATCAACTGTATTGCCAGGTACGGCAAGGTGGACAACAAAAAGTAATTTGGTCGGTTTTGAAATGTGGTAATCATGTCAGAGAGGTTATTATAATACTAAATCATTTCCATAGCAGCGATACGATGCTACGTGAAAAGTCTGAACTGTCTTAATAATCAGTCAAGATACTTCTGGACACACCTTATCTGTGTTTCTGTAAATATTTCTTTTTTATTATGATAATGTCTATAAGTTATCTATTTGTGATATAGGTTGTATAGCAGTATAATTAACAATAAACAAGTGTTATACCACTTTTGGTTGTCATTATTTGATGGTTTTGCTGCAAGTGTGTAGAAAAGGAATTTATCATTTTTTGTTTAAAAAAGAATGAATATATTATCCAGAACAGGGAAAATATACTTTGTATTTATTCTACCATCCTGTGAATAAAATAAAAAGTAAGTACAGGTATTTATCCACACAGAGGATGAAATTATTTGTATAGCAGTTAGTGACATTGTATCTTAAACCCTGCTAGGGATAAAACCTTTTTATTGTCCTAGTGGATCAGGAGAATGGTAACAATGCTTTCAGACACAGCATCACAGCATCACAGTATCACGACTCTGTGAACAAGTGCTCCATATTGATACACTACAAACAGTCTGTTACTCGGTCCTGGGTCTGGAAGATTAGCCATTTGTGGTGCATGAAAACACAGTAGTCTGGATGTTGTCCACAGTCCTCAAAATGTGGCCTGTAAAGGAATATATAACTGCGCCCAAACTGGAAGACTGGTGCATTGTGACAATAAATGTACCTACATACCTACCTGCCAACAAGACCCTCCAAGAAATGTCAAAAAAGCCAAACAAAGCTGAGTTGACTCATTTGCTGAACCTGGAATTTGAGTCTTGAAGACCCTTCATCACCTCTGAGGTCTTAAAGGAGCAAGACAGACCAACAAAGATTCTAGAGGCTTACCCATGTTTCCGAGACCTGGATCATGTGAGTAATGTTGGTCCTATTCAGTCCACATTCAGCTCTTCCAAGGACTTATTTTAGCATGACATAATTGGCATAATGTTCATATACCTTAGACATTATAGATCTTTTTGAAGAAGTCAAAGTCCTTAGTCATCAGAATGTTTGACGTGGATTAGCAGTGAACATTATTTTTTTCCAGTGAGTTTTCTTTCTGTATCTGAATCTATTTTTCGGGTGCTGGATAAGCTGCATTGAGTCATCCAACCAACCAAATCCAGGTACATCTCTGAGATGAAGAGCAGATGGGAAACCTTCTATTAAAAGGTCCAGTTTTTTGGGGTAATGAAGAAAGCCATTAAGCCTCCTAAAACTTTGAATGGAGGTGAAGTAACAATACATTGACTTCTTCATTTTATATAATAATGTGTCATTATTTATGGTACCATCTTGTCGTATGCCTTTTCCATTAAACCATTGGAGCATGTCACTATGGAGGACCGATCCTGCCACAGGCAGAAATAAATACAGAAATAAATAAATGCTCAATAAATAAATAAGCATACACACAAAAAATAAAGTAAATAAATAAATGTAGGTAGTAATTAAATTATACAAGGAGACATAAATGTATATATTTTAATTAGTGCCTTTACTTATTCACCTTTGTTATAATTACCTTATTTATTTATTCTCCATTATAATCTTCAACTTTATTTATTAATTACTAATTTTTTTAATGTATTTATTTATGTGTGTGTTTTAATATTTTTGTCTGTTTTATTCTTCCTTTGTATTTATTTACCTTATTTATTTTCACCCATGGTATTTATTTCTGCCTGTCTTTTTTAAATTTTTGTATGCATTTCTGCCTCATTATGCAAATGAGGAGGGGCTGTGTCTCAAGGGGTCATCTTCTCTGCTATTGGTGGACCAGTCAGACAGGAGAGCTCCTACTCTGCCTGCAGACATCAACGATCTTGCCCCTCACACAGTCAGATGGCTTCCTTCAGTGCACTGAGGTGTTTAACAACTCTGAAGACAATACTACCAGCAATGTCTTCCTTCTCTTTTCACGTAGACGCTCCGACAGACAGTGCTTTCAGTTTGCTGCATGCATGGACACAGAACTGCGGTATAGGGAGAAGCACACGGTCAGCTGGCTGCAGCTAAATCTGGAGTGCACTCGTATTCAATTCTGTATGGTAAATTCAGTTTTAACGGAGCAGAGCGAGCTGACAGGCAGAGTTAGAGACTTTTTCTGTCCGTTTCTCTCTTTACAAAGACGCATGTTGCAGTCAGAGTCTTCTCTGAGATGCGAGCACCACATACAACACAATTTATCAAATTACACAACGGATATACAGTATGAAAATAAGATTGATTGGATTATACTCACAGGAAGTATAAAACCTGTTACATGCGTCTATTAAAAGTAAAGTAACACAAAAATGTCAGGGAAATTACTTTACTTAGATTTAAGTACTGCAGTTGTACATTTGAAATACCTTCCTACCTTTCTGATAGGAAGCCTTCTTGAGGTGGTATAAAACATTTCTTCTTATATTCTGATTTGAGTTGTGGACAACTATGACCACATGAATTAAAAAAATTAAACATTTCACTGCCCAAGTCAGCTATAACACAAGTCTTGTTCATCAGACTACATGCTGTACAGTATTTGACTACAGATTTTGTCCCAGGATTTATTATGCATTTCTTCTTCTTCGTTGCATGATTTAGAATAATAAGGTGAGAAATGGGTCTATTCTGAGTTCATCCGACACTGCAGCAGCTAATAAAGTCCATTTAATCCCAAAAACGCTTTTCTTTTAGGCAGGCTGGAGCAGAAAACAACTCACCTTTCTCAAGTTGTACAGTAATGTCACATGTGTATGAAGGTGGATCAAACAAGCTAATCTTAAATGTCAAAGTGGAGAGGAGCCTAGTAGGCCTATTTATTTTCATTCATTACACAATATGAATAAGCTATGCAGACAGTTGTAAAGAAAGAACATCTTTTTCTTCTGTTCTCTACTTGTTATAGTTACACAGTATTAGGGGTGTGGGCTGTATTAAAAGTATCCACTGTTCTCCCATGCTCTAACACACAGTAACGATGAAATGTGTGCTGTTCTCACATTCTTCCTCTGTATGTACACATAAACAACAAGGCAGGGAAATATAAAAGGAATTTATTTTATTGTTTGGGGGTTATTTGTTGCTCTCCTTCTTCTTTTCCTCTGATGAATATGGTTATGTTCTCCGCATGCCTCCTCCTGTGTTTTCTGTGTGAGACAGAAGTACAGTAACTAACGTTAGCCTTCATTAAATCATTTCGACTGGTTAAGTGCAGTAAAGTTAACTTTAAATTGACTTCACCACCACACATAAAACACAGCTTAATAGCAATCACATTTAACAGAAGCATAAAATTCTTCTTAATGGTAACTGTTAAGATTAGTTTATTTTTTAGTCACCACCACTAGCTTAAGATCTTTAGCCTATATGATGTTATCACTACATAAATTAGCCTAGCGGCTAACGGACTTTTACTCTCCTCATAGCTTAACAGATTACATGTATTATTTATAATACTCACCGCTGGGAAAGTCACTGCATCTCCCAACACAACACCACGTTTGAATTTTCACCCTGAATGGCGTTTTTGTTGAAACAGCAGCTGATAACAGCAGAGCAACGAGCTGCGCCGTGTGGGAGCATTTCCCATAAATACTCGAATAGGAGTGCACTCCAGATTTAGCTGCGGCTAACTGATGTGGCTCTCAGAAACAATAGCTCACTTTCTTGCAGTTCTGTGTACGGATAAGTCGCTAATTGAAAACTCTGTAGGTCAGAGTTTCCACATGAAAAGAGAAGGAAGAAATGGCTGGTAGTGTCTTCAGAGTTGTTAAACACCTGAGCGCACTGAAGGAAGCCATCTGACTGTGTGAGGGGCAAGATCGTTGATGTCTGCAGGCAGAGTAGGCCTAGAGCTCTCCTGTCTGACTGGTCCACCAATAGCAGAGAAGATGACCCCTTGAGACACAGCCCCTCCTCATTTGCATAATGAGGCAGAAATGCATACAGAAATGTAAAAAGGACAGGCAGAAATAAATACCATGGGTGAAAAGAAATAAGATAAAAAAATACAAAGGAAGAATAAAACAGACAAAAATATTAAAACACACACATAAATAAATACATTTAAAAAATTAGTAATTAATAAATAAAGTTGAAGATTATAATGGAGAATAAATAAATAAGGTAATTATAACAAAGGTGAATAAGTAAAGGCACTAATTAAAATATATACATTTATGTCTCCTTGTATAATTTAATTACTACCTACATTTATTTATTTACTTTATTTTTTTGTGTATTTAATTGGATGCTTATTTATTTATTGAGCATTTATTTATTTCTGTATTTATTTCTGCCTGTGTCAGGATCGGTCCTACATATGTCACAGCTGTGTTCCAAGCCATGCCACTGCTCTTCCCGTCCAGCACCATGCCACCTAAAAGCTGGGCTTAAGCATTGAGGCTCTTTTCCATGTCCTTATGGTGAGATTTACAGACTTACTGCAATATTTCATACTATATGTTCCAGTTATTCATGCATTCATTTTATGTCAGCTTTAGTTACTTGGAGATAAACTGTTATGCATGTTCAGTCAGGCAGACTGGGTCCAAGGTAAGCCCCCTTGAACTGTGGGCAGCCGTAAGAGCTTGCTCCACTGCAGGCCAGAGCCCAACCTGCAAAGAACTTCACGTGATTGGTAATCCTCTGTTTTGCAGCCCTGCTGCCCGTGTTACAGACTGTCTCCAGCTAACTGGGGAAAGTGGTATGCAATAATCCCCTTCACCCCATCCCTCCACATTTACCCCCCAGCACCGCAACAATACCCTACAGAATTGGATTAGAGGATGCATTTTGCAATACTCTCTACACCTACTTTCTTCATATTTAGCTTTTTTTAGTTCCTTCTCTGTTTTTTTCTTTGAAGACTGTTAGTGGAAAGACTGTTTACTTCAGTTCAGTGTAATTCTTGTTTCTTTTTTCTAACACCTCAGAAAATGGGGATTGATTCTGGAGTCAATATTTCAGAAGATGGAGGAAAAAGTGTCTTTACCCAACTGGAGCACAACATAGTGGCTGCATACCTTATCACTGCAGGTAACAAAGAGAAGACCACCGCCCACATTACAAATATATGATTTAATTCTGACTATGATGAATAATGTGAGCATTCTGTTGTTTCAATGTGATTTCTATGCTTTATGTTTTCGGTAGAACCTTGTAGTCAAGTAATGTAACTCCCAGGCGTCAATGGCATTTCAAAAAAACTTGCAATCAGTCATTGTTTAAACATACACTCAGTACATCTCACTATTAAGTGTCAAGTTTAAGTTAAGGTAATGCATTTATGATCATGGCAGATAGTGTTTAACATACCACCATGTCCTGTGTCCTGCCGGTGGATATAGGATTAGGCTACTAAAACGCTTGGTTTAGGGTTATGGGGTTATAGGGTTTTTGTGTTTGAAGTCACAGTTGACTTTTTTAATATTTAAAGGGGTAAAATATAGTTTTTAGCGGCCACTAGCGGTGAGGTTTTAAGATTGCAACCAGGCATGTGCTTGTACGCGTGCTTGCTTCATGAGTGAGCATAATCCAAAACAGAAGTGCTTTCATTCAAAAATCCCACAATTAACGCATTGGCATGCCGACTGTGGCTTTTCTCCAGACATGTTCAGGCAGATATATGCTGGCTCCGTACCTTTCAAACAGTACAGCTGGCATAAAGGCACAATACTCCAGAAAAAAAATAGGCAGTGACAGCGGCTGTAGACAGACAGGGAGACAGCTTCACATAACATGCTGAAAACTCAGGTGAACTCCCACTGCAACGTTACAGTAACATTTTTATTAGCTTGAGGTTGAACTTATCCATGCTCGTTAAATGATAATATTACATTTTCTGCATTTAGCTGTGATCCATCAGAGTTAGCTCGCCCGCTGCTTTTCAGTAACTAACTTTACTATCTGTGTATCTTTCACCTGATGCTCAGCAATGTGAGCACATCTAACTTACATGTATTGGATGATAATGAAACGGTTAGTGACCTGGACTGAATATTATAAATGAGATTGTTGCTACACTTTATAACAGTTAGACTGCAGTAAATTACTTTACTGTAACGTTAGTGGATGGCTTTTCCTCTGTGAAGTTGTTGCCTTTTTGTTGCAGTAGCCTATTTTATGTTATATGGCTCACGTTAGTTACAGCGACTGACAGGTAGAATCTATGTACCTGAGTATTGGTAAAACAACAATAAATCTAAATTGAACGTTACGAAGCAAACATCGGCAGGTCCAAGCTAATGTAACGTTGGCTGTCTGCCCTGCCCTGCATCACTATAGGCTAGTAAACAAATCGCTCCACATTTGCTTTTTACCGTTACATCCTTTCTTGCAGGCTAAATCAACACTTTGACATAATACCGGTGGTACACAGGATATTGATATGGTTTTGCGTTAGTTGGTGAAATAATGTGGAAAGCTTCACAACTTTGCACAGGATAATGATAGCAATTGCTTACTGGGAGCTAACGTGACACTCTCTGTAAAGGCCTTTTCACAAGGGAAGCGATTTACGCCTCTAATAATTCATTTTCAATGATAGGCGAGTGTGTAGGTAGGGAGGCACGGGCATTTTGAAAGGCAGAGCAACAAGCAGGCGCGTTCCTGTGAAACTGTTGCGGTTGTGCTCATCTCATGCACAAGCCCGGCCACTGCCGAAGTTGAGTTGCCTTGAAGTTTTTGTAAGCGACACGCAGCACAAATCACTGGTCGAGAGACAGATCCTAACTGTTCCAGAAATCTGTCACTGTTTACTAAATAGTTATCAGGACATCAACAGGAGGGAATTTGCATGGCAGAGGCTGGATGTATAAGGTAACGTTATGTATAATTTTAACTTGAGTTAAATAGGCTACAGCTGTATATCCCACAGAAGCCGTTGCCATGGTTACTATACATTCTTCCATTTACTTGGGGAGCGCTTGTCTTCCTGCCTGTGTAGTTGCTTGGCCCCGGACAGGGATAGTGTTGTTTCCCATCTGAAAAGTCCTTAACACAGCCTTTCTGATGTTCACTGTTTTCACCAACATCATCTAAATCTCGTTTAGTCTGATGGGCTTCAACACAAAAACCTTTATTGTTGTTTTGTATCCTTACGTGGAGTTTATGTTGGAATCTGTGTTGTACTGGGAGCCGGTTGTTTTGTGGTGTTAGTGGACTGCACGTCATTAACTGCGGTATTGTCACTAGCAGTCGGAGAGAGGCTCTGGAGCGCGTACAGGGCTACATCCTGATCCAGTGTGCTCACATAAGAAGCCGAATAGTGGCTCATGCTGGAAACTCAGCTAAACTCCCACTGCGACGTTACAGTAATATTTTTATCAGCTTGATGTTGAACTAATCCATGCTCGTTACATGATAAAGTTACAGTGACTGCATTTAGCCAAAGGGCTACATCATTAGCTCGCCTGCTGCTTTCAGTAACTGTCTTTACTATCTGTGTATCTGTCACCGGAGGCTCATCAATTTCAGCACCGCTACATGTTTTGGGTGATAATGAGACTGTTAGTGAGCTGGACTGAATATTATAACGAGATTGTGTCACACTTTATAGCAGTTAGACCGCAGTAAGTAAATTTACTGTAGTGTTAGTGGATGGCTCTTCCACTGGGTTGTATATTATGTGGGTCATGTTAGTTACAGCGACTGAGAGGTGGAGAAGCTGTGTACCAATAAAAGGCAATAAATAAGGTTGAAATAAAGAATAGGAATACTTGCCTTCAGAGTTATTAGCCAAACCCGCCAAGTAGATCATTTTAATGTCAGATTACAACCCCTTCACACACAGGCAATAAAAACAGGATTAATTTTAGTAGAAAAACTACATATAGCCCCTTTTAACATAACCATAAAAATGTTAGTTGCTATGAGTGGATATTGTAGGAAAACACAGGGCACTATGACACAAAACTATGTCTGCCAAGGAGTTGTTGTCAAATGTTGAGTATTCTACCCTGTGCTCTGTTTACCTTGGTTTCCTGGATTGTTCCCTAGTGGAGCTCAGAGGCATGTGGAGAGGAGCCAACATTGACTTTTACAGAGAGGCAGTTTAGTCACAGGTTTCTGCTAAGCCGTGGTTAGGTGACTCAGTTCCTATTTAGACCATAAACGTCCTCTACACACCAGCCCTTGCTTCTCGGCCTGCTAGCAACCAGCTAGTCGGCATCCACCAGTCTGCCTACCTGCCTGCCTACCTGCCTGTTCCCCCAGTCAGCCCGCTTGCTCTCCAGTGGCTAGCCACATGCCAGTTTCCCGGCCTGCTAGCACTCCAGCAGCTTACCAAAAGTAATTAATCCAGATCCCCGTATGGGCCACCACTCTGTAACAATTTACCTTACACCAAACAGCAAGGGAAAAGTACATCACGCAAAATATAAGGTAACGGGCCTGCTTATTTTGATCAAACAAACCCTACATAAGTCAGGTAAACATTCAAACTGCAACTGTATACACTTGACAAAATTGTACATTAACGAAATAAGTCCATATGATGGGTTTAACAGCGTATATTTAGAAATATATCAGGTTTAGACCCCGTTGGGCATCACGCACACAAGTATTTCTCGCTAGAGGCACGGCCGCACTCCGACACATCAAACAAACATTGCAAACATTATCACCATTTCCCACACACATTTACCCTTCAGAATTGGTGACTATTACAACTTGCCTGTTTCCCAGCCTGCTAGCCTCTTGCCTGATCCTCCACCTGCTACTCCTGTGGAAAGTAATTTAGAGCAGGAGAAAGACACTGAGACAATCACTCTCTTCGAATTCTTTGCCTGGAGATCCAAGGAATCCGAAGTGGCATGAGCTTCTAGCCTTGAGGTAGTTAGCCAGGAGGCTAGCTATCAAGCTGTCTCCAAGTCCACTCCACCTTCAATCAAAGGTTCTAGAAGGAGACGTGGAGCCTGGCCAACTCCTGCTCCAAGGTCTTCGTCGGTGGTCCGGCCGACTCCTGCTCCATGGTCTCTGATGGTGGTCGGGCCATCTCCTGCTCCAAGGTCTCTGTTGGTGGTTTGACCAGCTCACGGCCCCAGTGTTTGGACACTGGTCCACAACCCTGTAATCCAGTCACCAGTCCTCAGCCTTGCAACCTTCTTTGTGCTTCCCTGTTCTGCTGCTTTACTGCTGGACTTCAGCCCTCCAGAGAAGTTCCACCCTTATTGCTGGCCCCTTGCCCGGGTCTCGTCTTGGTCCTCCGTTTCCAGAGTGTCGTGGACCTCCCTGATGGCCCCCTGCTTGACCACCAGAGAGGTCTTTCATTCGCCGCCGGCCTCCTGCCAGGGACCTGGAGGGGTTCTACCCTTGCTCTCTGCCCCCTGGTCAACCCCCTCACCTGCTTGGCCTACTGGCCAATCCTCCAGCTGCCCACCTGACCTGCTCAGCCTGTCGATCTGATATGGACTCAGGGACTTTGAGTTTTCTGTACCTCTAAATTATTAGTTGTTATTTTTATTAAAATGTTTTTTCACATGCAGTTTTAGTTTAGTTTTACTAAAAAATGTGAATTTAGTTTAGTTTTAGTAAACTATAATCACCTTGCTAACTTGCTCTCCAAGATGGTGCTGAGTTAGGTTAGGTGCGCTTGTTTGTTTTTTTTGTGTGTGTTAATTCAGTTTTCAGCTGTGATTCCTGGAGCTCTTTCACCAGGGAGGAGCTCATGAACATCAGGGGAACAATTCCAACAGATTTAATTCCCACTTTTCTCGCGTCATCAGTGGAATTATTGGACATTTTGGTGAAGGGTTCTTTCGCTGTCGTTCGCGCTTTGAAACGCCGCAGGAGAGGAAAAAGAGCAGGGTTGCTCGTGCTTCTTCGTCGCAACAAACTGGACGAACTTCATCTTCTGGTGGGGAAAAACAGAGACTTTTATTCATCTTCTGTTCTGTGCTTCACGGAGACGTGGCTGTGTGAACTGATACCGGACTCCGCGCTGCAGCTGTCAGGCTTCCAACTGTAGAGAGCGGACAACGACACAGAACTCTCTGGCAAAACAAAAGGTGGAGGTGTCCGTTTTTATATTAACAATGGCTGGTGTAGTGATGCAACACAACAGTTAGCAGTGCCTATCACGCCGTCACATGCGCTCCACTGGGACACTCTGATCACATGATGGTCCATCTGATTCCTGCTTACAGGCAAAAACTAAAGCTCTGTAAACCTGTAGTGAGGACATCAAAGAAGTGGACTAGTGAAGCTATTGAGGATCTTCCAGTTTGTTTGGACTGCACTGACTGGGACGTTTTCAAGAAGGCTACCAACAATCTGGATGAGTTTACAGAGGCTGTGACGCCCTACATTAGCTTCTGTGAGGACACATGTATACCAACACGCACCAGGATGAGTTATAACAATGACAAACCCTGGATTTCAGCTAAACTCAGACAGCTAAGGTTGGAAAAGGAGGAGGCATTTAGGAGTGTTGACAGGGCCAGGTGCAGGGCGTTAAAGTACAGGTTTAGCAAGGAGGTGCGAGAAGCTAAACGACTGTACTCAGAGAGACTAAAGAACCAGTTCTCTGCAAACGACAACGGTCTTTTCAGGAGACAGAAACCCCACAAGACAGCTGGGCCGGACTCTGTCTCCCCATCCATCCTGAAGCACTGTGCTGATCAGCTGTCTCCGGTGTTCACACTTTGGCTCAAAAAAAGGAATAGAGCACATGACTTCTGTTCTTGATTTATAAATTGACTGACATTCACAGACCCTTTTCAAAAAGGAATAACGATAAAATGAATCGCCAAAAATGAAAAATGGGCCGTTTTGATTGGTTTTTCGTTTTTTATTCTGACACCAATCCACCAGTCACTAGTGACTTTGTTTGTGAGGCCACAGAAATGTTACAAGGCTTTCATCAAGTTGGAGTTTTCATATGATAAGTATAATCCTCACTCCAGCCCTGCTCACTCACTCTGTTTGGTTTCATTGCAGTCTGCTCTTTAGCATTCAGAGGTTCCACTGCAGACGACAAGGTGCCTCTGTGCATCAGTCGTTTCGAACACAGCCTCCAGTCTTTGGGCCATGCCCCCTTATTTGCATACACTCCGCAATCCTAAATGTCCAAATGCCTAATCCTAAATACCAAATGCCCAATCCTAAATGGCCAAATGCATTTTTGATTTAGATCTACAGTTTTAGACTTTTAATTTTAACTCTTCCAATCTGATTGAATCTCTCGGAGCCCATCAAGTTTGTGGTAAGAGTGGGTTTATTCCACATCTGCATTTATGACAAAGGACAGTAGTGTAGAATCGTCATCTCATGTGGACAAACAGCGCATGCTCTGTCTGGAAAGACAGCATCAAGTTAAAGTTAGCTAGCTATACTGGAGAGATTTTCTACTGGCTATAAAACACATAAACGATTGTCATAAAAACATGGTGAGATTAATCAACGACACATAATATTCAGCCATAGAAATCTAGCTTAACTTTTACATGCTTTTCAAGTAAGTTAGCATTGTTTAGTCTACGGACACGTTACCTAGAGCCTAGTTCACACTACACGATTTTTAGCCCGATTTGTCCCAATTTAGCCCGACCATCAGGCTGTGATCAGGAGTAAATAAGCGGTTGATCGGCGGTCGCCAGTTGTTATGTGTGAACTACACAACGAGGCAGCTGGCAGAACAGGCAGCTATGTTTTGACTGCCAAACACTTTTTTACTCACCTCCAGCTCTCTCTGTGACACAGACAATCATATTCAACCCATATTCTTTGTCTTTACAATTTCTATCTTTATAATAACAACAGCTGTTTCTTGTGTAGGTTTGTGTCATTCCCCGTTTCACATTTCACATGTGTTTTCATGACAAAATGTCGCTGTCAGCTCCTGTAGTGTGTGACCCCCTGTCACCGATCAGTCACGTAGTGTGAACGCCACAGCAACTTCAGACCCGTCACAAGACGGCAAGTTGTGTAGTGGGAACAGCACGGCCATTGGCCAATGCTGAAAGTCATGTAGTCTACTCGAGCCTTAAGGGAAAATACTCCGTTGCTTTGAGGATTAATAATCCGTAATCCTTAATCGTACCTGCAGAGTTTGCTGTAAGTACGATTTTATAACAGCAGGTGGCATAGTAGTTTACTTTGTTCCTATGAGTCTAAAAACTTGATTTGACTGACATTTTTTCATTACAAGCACCAGTTTTTCCTTCTCTGTTAGAATTCCATCCATCTTGTACTGATCATGGCGTGCTTTCTGAATAAATCTGAATGTTATAGCCTTGCTTGCATCAGAGAGCTCTTGTTTGTCTACATTCCCTAAATTAACCAGATCACAGCATTTGATTCGTCATAGGAGGAAGTAGAGATAATGACATTAATGAGGGCTCTGTCCCAACAATTATCACAATGTAATGCAGCAAATATTAATAAATATTATTAGTGACACCTGTGTTTGACAAGTCTGCTGTTCCACAAATGAATTTCACAATTCATCTAATTCTACCCCACCCCCCACTCATGTGCCCCATATGTGGCAACTGTTGTATAATCAATGTTTTAATATACAACATGTGTATGTACCAATATCAACAATAACTCTAAAAATCACCACCAAGAGGCTCATCAGAAGAAGTTAATGTTTGTATTCTACTTCTTGTAGATGAGAGTGTTATGAAGCATCAGAGGAAATGCACCTTTATTTAGCCCTCAGTCATTGTGGCTTCTGTTTAGAAGGAATACAGGATCAGATGTTGCAGGTTGGACTTTTACCTCCCACATTGTGACATTGTATGTTTTGTCATCTTTCTCTTCTTAGGTGTCATTAGTTTAACGAGTAATATCGTGGTGCTGCTAATGTTTGTGAAGTTTAAGGAGCTCCGCACTGCCACAAACTTCATTATAATCAACCTGGCCTTTACTGACATAGGAGTGGCTGGTATCGGCTATCCTATGTCAGCTGCCTCGGACATCCATGGCAGCTGGAAATTTGGCTCCACTGGTTGTCAGGTAGGTAGAATGTAAGCGCCTTTTTACACACGTTATGTTGTTACTGGAATAACCTACATCTACACTGAAAGGTCATGTAAAGGCCACCCAATTAAATGTTGAGACGAGGGAGGGTGTATGTTCTGTACGTTTGTGTGTGTGTTATGGTGGTGGTGGGGGAGAAGGGGCACTATACATCTTCAATCATTTTAAATATATGCTGTATTCTCAGAATTGTATTCAACGACTCACCATGGTCCCACCATGCACTTCCACTGCACAATACCTAGGTAATGTTTGCAGACTGGTTTACTTGGTTTACTATTTTAAATCACTGAGATTTAAACAAAAAAGATTCCATTCCAAATCCCCCCCAAAACAAAGATCAGTTGACAGAACATACACTGCACAACAAGGCTGTATAAGGTGAGAACTGAACCTGAACCACATTGTCATGAGGTTGGTTTTAGCCCCCTCCTTTGCTCGCCCTCGGTAAAATACTTGTTTGAAAGAATGTATTCACCTTTTCTGAGTTGGCCATGAGACTAAACCTGTGAGCAGGCTGACACGTTTGCTTTAGCTGTTGCACTGCAGCAGGCCACGTGTTTGGATTCTTATGGCAGATTATGTTTTTTTTTATCAGTCTTTGTTGCTGTACAGTGAAACTGAGCCATGTGATGCTAATCTGCAATGAGAAGCAGAGCTAGGAAACCCAGAGCCAAATGTTTTTACCGGGCAGTGGAGGTTTCCCACACAAAACCTCCAGTGTACCCTTGCAATAACAATTAATTTGTCTAAAATGTTAACAAACTCTCCTGCGTTTCAGAGGCAAGCATACGTATGGCACCAAAGGTGTCTCTTTCAGGAAAAGTTCACATAAAAATACAATTTCATCTATTCAGTGTGTTTAAATCCCAAACTTTTTCAGCTCAACACCCATAAGAGAAATCTGTTGTCTCACTGGGAGCCAAATTTATATAAATACATCATGAATTGCTGTAACATCTACATTTATAAACTACAGATAAAGAACATAAACCATGAACTTAAAGTGTATATTAATTTATTTCTATATAAAAGTAAACAAAAAACTACAATGGTCTATTCTCCCTTTCTCAACTCTCATTTTCTTATCCCCTCTCATCGTCCCTCAGCATCAACACCAACATGTCTTTTTTTAATGATGTTGACATGAATTTAATGAGAGGTATGTGGCTGGTTAAAGTTTTCAACCAGCTGATCTATATTCTGGGCTCCGTTTTGAAAGTGCCATTCTGAGGTGGTGCGGAGCATTTAGTCTGTTTCTGTATTGGTTTTTCAGGTATGCTAGACTTGAAAAGCCAGTTTCACACAAGTTTGTGGTTCGAAATTGAATCAACACATCTTGAAGAATTCTTTGCAAAGAAAAAATAACACTTTAGTTTGGACATCATAGGATCGACAGTGACAGATGGCAGACTACAGGGCATACAAATTCTGTATTTATGTGAAGAGCAGATCAGGTTAAGGAGAAGGGAGAGTGAAAACCTCACCCAGCATCTGAGCTGAACAGATTAGTGAGGCAAAAATGAATGCTCATTCACATATGTACACATTGTAACATTATTATGCATTTTACTCTGCCATTGACCCATTTTAGGTCCTGAACCTAAGTTTCGGAAACATGGCACTAGAAGATTGTTGGATGTGTTTATCCCCCTGACAGCTGTTGGTTAGCCATTTTAACATTTATTCCTTAAAACTATCTAGTAGCTATTTCAAAGCTACTAGTACTTATTTATTAGTTACTAGTAACTATTTCTGTTTTGCTAGTAACAATGAATTAGATACTAGTACTTTTTTGTTACTAGTGACTATTCCATTAGTAACTATTTTTTAGTAACTAGTAACAATTTTTTTGTTAACTAATTGCACTTATAGGGCTCTGCAGTTCTAATATCACATTTTTATTAGTCACTAGTAACTATTTCAAAAGATACTATTAACATTTTCATTCTTACTAGTTCATTTTCTTTGGTTACATCATTTATTAATGGCTAGTAAAATATGGAAAGCTGTTTTAACATTTATTCTTTAAAACTTACTAGTCGCTATTTAAAAGCTACTAGTAACTCTACCATTAGGTACTAGTAATTATTCCCGTTTTACTTAGAACAATTGATTAGATCCTACTTAATTTTAGAAACTAGCTAACTACTAAAAGTTAAGTACTATTATCGGATCAGTTACAAGTAAAACAGTAATAGTTACTTGTAACTATCCTTTTATCCCCCTATTTTAGGGAAGCCACCCTAACATAGCCTTAAGCCCCCCAAATAACAATCTGGTTGTTTCCTCAGCTTCATAATTTAAATCCTTGCTGTGGTCCGGCACTAGGACCCTGAGGGAGGCTGGCTTTCATCGCTGCTCTGCCGAGATGTCAAGCAACTACACAGAAAGAGACACACACACAGCCACACACACACATGGAGAAGGCCAGAAGGCTGATTGATTTAAGGTAGTGAGTGATACCCAGTCAAACTGTAAGGTGTTGTTAGTGACTGTTACTTGCTGAACTTTAGCTACGTTTACTTGAGGTAAAGGAAAGGGGATATTTTAGTTGGCTATGGAAAACACTAGTGTTGATAATGTGAACGCCATTAATATTACCCATCTCTAGTAGCCTATTTCAAAACAATATCAGTCCACATAGAATGTTGTTGTCAGTGAAAAGTAAATGTTCTAGTGTTCCTGTTAATGCTGTTGTATATCCTTGGATTCATTGACCAGATGGATATTGAAGATATTTTAGGAGAGAGAGAGAGAAGCGGGAGATTGGCAGGGCAGCTGATTCTGAGGTCAGTAGTGGTCTATGGGTCTAAGGAAATGTGGGCTGGTTGTTTTCTTTCTTTGTTGGCAGGTCTGAACATCAAGGCAAAGCCTAAACTAGACTAAACTAGACATGCGAACTAGGTTGATTGGTGAACCTAAATTGTCCTTAGGTGTGAGTGTGACTGTTTTTTTTGTCTATGTCCATGCCCTGCGATGGATTGGCGACCTGTCCAGGGTGTACCCCGCCTTTCGCCTGATGTCAGCTGGGATTGGCTCTAGCCCCCCTGTACGCAGTATAAGTGCTTGACGATGGATGGATGGATATTGCCTAAATGGCTAGGCTGTACATGAGCATATACACACAGGAAAATATAATAAAATGAAAGCATACATACTACATGTATCGATACATATAGTAATCATTACTCCAAATCTTTTATTCCTTCCACGATTAGGTTATTAAATTCGGACAGTAGCCACTATAAATAGGATCCTTATCAACAGCTTACATATGTATGCTTGTATGCAAGCCAAACTACAGAGCAAAATCTCTCACTCAGAATCAACCAATCCACAGTGCAGTAACAGTAATTAATGTAATTAACTAGCATTCTTTAGACCTGCAACTTATCTAATCTAACTTATCTAAGGGGAATTAGACATGGTTTTACTTTATCACACATTTACATGAGCAGAACATGAACTCAGTCTGGCCTAAGTGAATTCCCTCTATGCAGCGTTGATGTGTCTAAAAGCTAACATTATATGGTGGTCAGAACCATTGTATGTGGGTAGGACAAGACCCACCCACTTTTTAAGACCAATGATATTGGATCCACTCACTTTTACTGTCTGTAATTCAGCACTTCTGTTTTTCACTTGTCAGAGTGTTGGCAATGAAATCCATTCCACTTGAGGAATGCACTAATAAATTAAACTATTAAACTAAAAATTAAACTTTTTACAGCCGTCACTTTCACACTGCTGCTTCTTCAAATATTTTCTACTCAGCTCATTTAGAATCCATATAAGTTAAACTCCATTCCTTGTTTTCACTGCGTGTGCTTGCTGCACTGCCGTGACACAGCGAGGTAAACAAAGTATTTTAGGATACCAGCTGCTCAGATGTGTCTTTGTGCTCACATACTGCCACTAAAAAAAACACTTTTTCATCATTTGTTCACCTGATGCTTTTAAAGGGATCATGTAGTATTTGTTGCAGCATTATATTACAGTTGCACTTACGCTATGTTGTTATAACATTTTTGCTAGGCTAGCTAGCTACAGTTATGTAAACATTAATAAACCAGAGTTAGCAGCTCTTTGAATCCCAGTCAATGAGAGAAGCTAGCTGTGGTACCAGTGCCAAATCTGAGGCACAAGGATGATATTAAATGAAAAAGTTGATCTACAGGAGAAACATATCTGAAAGCAACACGGAATGACTGAGAGCTGCACTGACTTAGGTTCTGTTGAGTTTTAGATTTCACCTGCCACCTGAATTTTGTTTCCCTTTGCATAAATAAAAACTTTTCCACCAAAAGTTGATGCAGGAAAGAGAGAAATTGGTGCAGTGTTTAATGTTCAAAATTTTCTGGAGGGGGGACTCCCAGACCCTCCTGAACTAACAGATTTCAGGATTCATGAGAGAGACTCTATTGTCATTGCATACAAAATACAACAAAATGCAGTTTAGAACAAAACATTGAACTTAGCAGCTTTAAAATAGCATATAAGCAATAATGATTTCTGTAAAACAGTGTTTAAAAACATCACATTTTGTTCTTTTGAGATATATATATATATATATGTATATATATACAGTTGAGGCCAAAATTATTAGCCCCCCTTATGAAATTATACAAAACTCTTGATTTCTCCATGGAATTGAACATTAACAACAAGTGTTTATAGTGTATTTGTTTCCAACATAACAAAGACTACATGTCCACTAAGTTTCATTAGGATATGTTATTGATGCATTGAGTTGAAACAAGGACAAAAATGAGACGTCAAAAGTCAATAGTGTACCCTTTCTGAGCCACAACTGACAACCTCTCACGGTGCTTTCAGACCAACCGCGAATTTTCGCCTCGTGACGCTTTCCTTGTGTGAGTACATTCGCTGCAAGTGTTCACACACAACGCGAGAAGGCAATTTGAAGACGATAATGTGAATAAACACAACTTGCCATTACTACAACTGTATGAACCCAAAGTAAACATTTTGCTGTGATTAAATAACAATAAACGGATAAACTGATGCCGAAATAACTACAACATGATTTTGCAGATTTGCAGCAGATTTGTTAAACATATGAATTCACGCTTTGTCAGGTCTGTCAGCAAGACAGCAGGACAACAACTTCTAAAATGTTTGTTTTCTGGATGGAGTTTGGATCGATCAGGGCTATGCTATGCTAACTTGGTCACAGTAAAGTACAATGATAGCTGGAATAAAGTTACAGACACATGTTTTCTGAACTCACCAGGTAGTTCAACCTCCTCAAACAAAACAAAAGATGCAAAGATTTTGCAAGCACAAGATACGCATACTCTGGGGGCAAAGCCCCCCCTCGTCTTTCAATCCTAGTGACGTCCCTGCTAGTAACTTATAAATAAGTATTAGTAGCTTTTAAATAGCGACTAGTAGGTTTTAAGGAATAAATGTTAAAACAGCCTGCCATAGTTGGTTTCACGTTAGTCCAAACGCTGTGAAATCAGTGATCAGAAATCTGAGACTGAGTCAGTGTGTATCATTTTGATATATTTTGTGTTTCCAAACTGATTTTCACTTCCATTTGAATTTGTATGCAACAATATTTTGCCAAAAATATAAGCAAATATGAAAACTTTGATGGACAACGATTTCAAATCTTTACAAGTTTATTTGTTACACCATAGTTAAATTTAGAGCTGAAACAAGTAGTCCATTGACAAGAATAATGATGTGCAACTATTGAGATCGATTCATATTTCCAGTCATTTTTCAAAAATGTTAAACATTTCCTGGTTCTAGCTTCTCATATGTGAAAACTTTTGATCAGAGACAACAACAAATGTCACTTTCGGCTGTGGTAAATTTGGATGGGCATTTTTTTTAAGTTAACATTTCTGTTTTTGTTTGTCTCCAGATCTATGCAGCTCTCAACATCTTCTTTGGCATGGCCAGCATCGGCCTGCTGACAGTGGTGGCCATCGACCGCTACCTCACCATCTGCAGACCGGACATAGGTATGTATTTACTGCTCCTCTTCTCTCCATGTAAGGGCATCTTTTCCACTGGGGAGGGAAGGGAGGATTTCCCCCTCACTTTTCAAAATCCTATTTTTCACTTGTGTCTTTATAGTCTTCTGTCCAGAGGACTGTGGTATGATGTCAGTCGCTCAAAGCTTACTACACCCTCCAGAGATCTCTTCTGTCTTATTTATTTTCTTTGTTATAATTTATTTCCTTGATAACAAATAAAGTTACCAATTTTACTAATTAAGTTACCAGTAAGTAATTTTATTCTCCCATTTTAAAAACTTGAACTCGTCAGTTGCTGAAAGACACTAAACACATAATATATTATGAATAACAGAATTATCCACTTTTTATATGATGCCTAAGTAGTAGACTGTAAATGTAATTTATGCCAATCATGTTACATCTGTTATTATTGATAAAACACTTACATCTTTCCCTATATACGGTATATGCATACATATAACAGAAAATTAGAAAGTCAATAAAAAATAAAATCAATACATGTCAGTATTAATGCATTGTCCATATTCTTGAGATCACAGGAATGTGAAAGAGTGAAAAGGGAGGGGTGTAGGAACAGCCCAGACCAGACACACATCACACCAATGTAGTGTAAAAGCGCTTTGAGTGGTCGAAAAGACTAGAAAGGCGCCATACAAGTACAGAGCATTTACATTTACCAATCTTCTCTCTGTATTAGTGGACATGTGCAAGTAGTTCTGGTTAATTCAGTTCATATGTCAAAATCACCATGTGGAAATAAAACTTCACATTCTTCACATAATATTAATTAATGTACATTTCACTCTGAATTACAAAGTTTGTATCTGTTTATTGTTCCCTGTGTGGGTTACTGAAGTCCAGATATCCTCCTGAGGGTGGATTAGTGAGCGTCATTTGGTTCGTTGTCACATATCTTTTATGTCCTCTTACTGCTCAGCTACCATATTCCAGACTATGGAAGTGCTGATAAAAATGTTGACATGCTTGTCAGAAATGTCAAAAATGTAATCTATATTTGATGTAAAAAGATGTTTGAATTGAACATCATTCAAAGATAAGACGTTAAACCACAGTGATCTTTGTTTCACTCAAAAACAACACCAGGAAACTAAAAATGATTTCAAGTGAGGTTAGTGCATTAAAATACAGAGATTCCATGTGACTTGACCTGTTCACACAGTCATAGAAAGATCAAAACCGTAGTCACATATGAGCAAACAATTCAGATTTGGGTCACTTTGGCCTGCAGTGTGAATGTAGCCTTAGACTAAGACACAAAACTCAAGACAACATACAACATTAAAACTGTAGAGATTTAAAACTTATCTGCCCCAGGTCTGGTGACAAGACCCCCCCATGGGGGAGCGGACTTGGAATCTCCCATAGAACCGGGAAGCACCCACAGACACACAGAGCCTTTCTGCCATCTTTATTGCTGGCAACACTAAAAGTTGCGAACAGGACCCTCCTGCCATGTGCCAAAACCGTAGCCACGGGGTGATCCTCCCCACCCCCTAACACAGGTGAGAGTAATCAGTCATCATTCTTCCCTTCAAGTGTCCGCAAGGAGATGGAGACTTTCCCCAAAGTTATTCATTACAATATGTGTGAGGTAGGTCTTCTTGCTGCCACTAGCCTAAATGTTACAGCTGTAGATTTCCACACCTGAAACAACACCTGCCTGCGGGTTCCCTAGCTGCTGCTGCTGAACTACTTTCTGTGGATGGCAGCTGAGGTTTACTCCTCTGAAAAACGTAATGTCCATAGTTCAAAAGCTAGTTAGCTAGGTGGGTCTTTGTGTCATCCAGCACTGCAGCAGCCCATAACAGGCATGTTGGAGTGCACAACTATGGTAAAACAAGAAAAGGTAAATAAAACTTCTAAAGTGCACAACTATGGAAGCCTTTTGTCATTCGAGGATGAAAAATGAACCTAATACTAACATATAACAATGACAATAATTTGTAATAATGTCACATAAATTGTATATAAAGGTCGATCAAACATAGTTATTCTTAAATGTTAAATGAGGTACAAAGGAACATGTAATTGTTAATTTTTAGGGTTCAACCCATGTAGGGTTCAATTCAACTCCATTGTTTTTGTTCTCATTATTCTTTTTTTCATTCTTCTTTTTCTACGCTAAAAGTGTTTGGGCAGCAAAAACTACTGAATGAAAACTCACCAAAATTGATAGACTCAATCATAGACCTCAAATAACAAACTTTAGTTATTCCCTTTGAAAATTTGGGGGAATAACTGGAAATGGTGTGGATGTGCTTCCAAAGGAATATGACTCCAATCGGCCACATGATGGTGCTGTAATTACGGTAATAACGGCTTAAAAATGCAAATTTGAAAAGCCATGCCCCTCCTACCGTAAGTCCGATTGACTTAAAATTTCTCACACAAGTCCAGCTCAATGTGCTCTACAAAAAAGCATCATGGAAGGTCTCCCTAGAAAATGTTTCCTCCATTTTAAATTTTTTGAAAAACACATTTTTGACATGAACCAACCTTATTAAAAGTTGTATAAAGCATGTCGATATCTCTAATACTTTTCAAGATATTGACCAATGAGCATTGAAGGGGGCGTGGCACAGGACATAAATAAACACCAATCAGCAACCACTGGGCTAATCATCACAAACTCACAGGAGATGTTCAGATAAGGGCTCCAGATAAATCAGGACAGTTTCATACACATAGGTACGCTACACTGCAGTTCAGTTTAAACTGAAATACAACAGTCATCATACAATATTTTCAAAATATATACCAGGCGAATGTCCATATTTTGGCAATATTTACTGTTTAAATGTTGACTTTTATTGGTAGATATCTTTTTCTGTCCATACAACCAAGTTCCAAATAACAAAACATTGAAACATTGAGTATTCATCAACATTCCTGTCACCAAAAGCACGCCCATGCTTTACAGGCCTGTAGATTGAGAACGGAACATCAGGCACGTGCACACACAGACATCAAAAGGGGGGATGCTTTTTTAAATAAAAGAATATACAGTATATTTATTCCTGTTTGCAACAGATTCCCTGTAAACAAATTTTTTTACTGGGGGAAAAAATTTAAATAGGCTATCAGGTCAGAAGATGAGACTTTGGAGTTCCGATGCCCTCTCTCTCCCTCCCCCTCTCTCTCTCTCTCTCTCTCTCTCTCTCTCTCTCTCTCTCCCCTCTCTCCTCCCTCCCTCTCTCCCTCTCTCCTCTCTCTCTCTCCCTCTCTCCCTCTCTCCCTCCCTCTCTCTCCCCCTCTCCTCTCCCTCCCTCTCTCTCCTCCCTCTCTCTCTCCCTCCCCCTCTCTCCCTCCCCTCTCTCCCTCCCTCCCTCTCCCTCTCTCCCTCCCCCCCCCCCCCCCCCCCCCCCCCCCCCCCCCCCCCCCCCCCCCCTGCCCAACCAGAGCAGCTCACAGACAGACAGCAGCCCCTCCAGCTTCTCTCCCAGCACTGTTTTTCTTGGCTTGTGTGGAGGTGAGTGGTGATGAACAAAAGACTAAACTACCAGTGCCTCCAGTTTACCGCTAACGCATGACTCGTGAGTTGAGCTAGTGTAATAACTGTAAAATAAAGTTAGCTGAAGTTTAGCTAAGGCAATATCTCATGGCCATACAACCTAATGTACTGATGGAGACACTACAGGTGAACACAGTAACGTTTGTGTCTAATAACGTCATCACAATCGCCACATTGATTTGCATATTAGCTTAAATTAACTAATTAAAATGCGCCATTTTGCAGACATTTGACAAGTCACTGCAGGTGAACGGGATAAAGAAAATAACTAAAGCATATCTCGGAGACTCGGAGCAACAAAATAGGCGGATTTTGGCGAGAAAAAAAAATTTCAGTCAGCGATTTCGCCCACAGCTCAGCTGACCCCGGTAACGGGGGCATGTGTTTTCAACCCCTTCAGACCATATGACAGACAAAGAACTGGATGAGATAAGGAGGTGGAAAACTAACTGAAACACTTGTGATCAGGCAAAATTCTCACCACAAATTCACATATGTTAACAGCACCTCTGATAAAATGCAGCTCACAGTTAAATTTTTATATTGTAAAACTCTACCAGCTATGTTACCACTCTGATACAAACTCCCTGCGACTCACAGAGAGAGTGTCGCATCAGCTGGGTGGTGTTGATTCACTCCGGCAGTGGACGTTTCAGTTATACATTTGTTTATCTGGGGTACAGTTCCTGCAGTGGAAACGTGGCTGTTGTTGACCCACAAAGGAGGAGGGAGCAGCACCCACCACTGCACATCGGAGAGACTGTGGTGGAGCAAATAAGCACATTCAAATTCCTCAGTATTAACATATCTGAGCATCTCTCCTGGACTCACAATATCACACAGCAGTTGTATTTCTTAAGAAGACAGAAAATGTGGCATGTCAGGCAAAATCCTCAGCAGCTTCTACAGATGTACAATCGAGAACATCTTCACCATCTCAATCACAGTCTGGTCTAGCATGGGACCACAAGGCTCTACAGCAGGTGGTTGTAGAATTTCATTGTATTGTGTAACTGTTTCCTGTACATATGAGAATTAAAGTTTAAAGTCTTGGCTATACAGATATCAATTCTGTGATGATATCTGTGCTTTGGTTTGTACATGCTGAATTATATTGAGTATTGTATTATGTTAGGTTAAACCATAATTATAAATTAGTATTATTATTAATAGGTACTGCAGGAAGTCATTGTGTTTAATGTCAACCGCTCAGCTCTGTTTACCAGCACTGTATCCCTATGTATCCGGTATTTTCAAAAATGTATTAAAAATGTATTTCTCCTTTCCTCAAAAATTCCCAGTTGTTACTCGCTTGTTCTCCTTTACCTACTTTACAATGACATTACACCATACATAACAAATGAAGTTGTGGGAAGTTGCAGGCTGTATTTGCAATGAAATCAGTATCTCTGGATTAAGGGTTCACTGACTTTCCTGACCTTCATTGTGAATGTACATGTCATTTCTCTCTCTAGGGCAGAAAATGACTGTGCGATCATACAACCTTCTTATTCTGGCAGCATGGCTGAATGCTGTGTTCTGGTCCTCAATGCCTATAGTGGGCTGGGCTGGATACGCCCCGGACCCCACTGGAGCTACATGCACCATCAACTGGAGACAGAATGATGCGTAAGTTATAAATAGACTGCAGACGCTATTGAAAACAAGAAAACAAGAAAATTGCTTATTAAAGGTGAAAAATCTAATACTTCTACTATTAATACTTCTGCTACTGTGATAACCTGTGATTGGTCGTGCTCCGTTTTCCACTGCAGATTGTACCCAGAGATAGACCAACAAACAGCTTTCTGTTTTTTAAGTTAAAATGTTTCAGTCTTCCTCTGAATGTAAAGACAGATAAGCGGTATGAAAACCTTCCAGCTGTGTTTTCCTCTGCTGCTGTTGCTGCCTCTGTCTCTGTGACGGCGGGAGCAGACAGTGGCTGGCCGGCCTCACATGCTCCTCCACAGGCGCAGGCTCTATTCCAATTAATATTTTCATGCAAGGAGGTCCATTTGTACCTGCAGGCAGTGATAGATTTTGCACATAATTTTAATTCTTTGTTGTTGACTTTTCTGTCTAGAAAAGATAGACCATTCATTGAAACACTGCTGGAGAAAAATACATTCATTTGATCCAAATCTTTCTCATCTCTAAGTAGGGTGATGATGCCATGGGGTATAGCTCTGGTTACAACATCAAATTCTTTTCTTTTATGAGTGAAGTTGTCATAAGTTAAAATTTAATTTGAGCTGTTTAATAATTGGAATACTAATAATAATACTAATAATTGGAGTTGTGTCATCAGCCAGCTGTGATATTTTTATTTCTCTTTCATTTAATGTAATTCCTTTGAATGAACTCTTGTGAATTAAATCACAGAGAATTTGAGCTACAATCAAAAATAAAATAGGTGGGGCAGCCTTGGTGGATACCTTTGTTTATGTAAAATCTAAGTGAGGTTCCATTAGCCAATTTAACACAACTGTTTCCTCCTGTGTGAGTTTTTACAGCATTAATAAAATTCTTACCAAAATTTAAAAAGTTTAAGGTGTAAATAATAAATAATAAATAAAAGCTTTTTGAAAGTCTAAGAATAAAATAAGGTGTTCATTAGCTGGAAAGTCTTTGTATTCTATCAGATCCAAAATTAAGCAAATGTTATTGGCTATGTGACGATATTTCATGAAACCAGATTGATTAATGTGTATAATTTAGATTTGAGACGTTTTTCTAAGATAGATGCTAGAATCTTATAGTCATTATTTAGCAATGTAATGGGTCGCCAATTTTCAATTAATAGGAGTCTTTATGAGGTTTTGAAATAAGTGTTATGATGATTTGCCTCAGAGGAAGTTCCCCTCTGTCCAGAGATGCTTTGAAGACAGCCAGAAGAAATTTACCTAATGGCTCAGAGAAACATTTATACATCTCAGAGGTCAGACCATCACAGCCTGGTGAATTATTGTTCTTTAATCAAGTTATTCCCCAATTAATCTCCTCAAGAGTTGTGTCCCGACAGCAGATTTTATTATTCAATTCAATTCAATTTTATTTATATAGCGCCAAATCACAACAACAGTTATCTCACAGCGCTTTTCATAAAAGAGCAGGTCTAGACCGTACTCTGTGATGATATTTACAGAAGCCCAACAGTTCCCACCAAGAGCAAGCACTAGGCGACAGAGGCAAGGAAAAACTTCCTTTTAAGAGGCAGAAACCTCGAGCAGAACCATGGCTCAGGGTGGGCGGCCATCTGCCTCGACCGGTTGGGGTGAGAGAGAGAGAGAGAGAGAAAGAGAGAGAGAGAGAGTGAGAGAGAGAGAGAGAGAGAGAGAGAGAGAGAGAGAGAGGGATGTAGGAGAGAGAGAGGGGAGGGAGGCAGCCTACACAATATACACACAGAGGTACAGACAGCGAAGGTAATGTTGCTATAAACTAAATGAAAAATGGTACAGATATTTATAATAGTGTTAATGGTAACCATCGTAATGTTAATGATTATAATAACAATAAGACTAGCAACAATAGTCGTTGCAGTAGAGGGTGTCGAGCAGGAACACGGGGGCAGCAGGCGACCCGCAGCCACAGATCCAGACTCCACAGCTCCAGAGCCAGAAAACCTGCAGGAAGTGATAGGAGGAGAGAGGAGAGGGACGAGAAAGCACAAGACTACCAGAAAGGGGAGAAGTTGTGTTAGTAACATGCAATAATGGGATAAGGTTGCATACAGAGGGAGAGAAAGTAGAGGAGAGAGGAGCTCAGTGCATCATGGGAAATCCCCCGGCAGTCTAGGCCTATAGCAGCATAACTAAGGGATGGTTCAGGACTACCTGAGCCAGCCCTAACTATAAGCTTTATCAAAGAGGAAAGTCTTAAGCCTACTCTTAAATGTGGAGATGGTGTCTGCCTCCTGAACCCAAACTGGAACCTGGTTCCACAGGAGAGGAGCTTGATAGCTGAACGCTCTGGCTCCTAGTCTACTTTTGGAGACTCTAGGAACCACAAGTAACCCTGCATTCTGGGAGCGCAGTGCTCTGGTGGGGTAGTAAGGTACTATGAGCTCTTTAAGATAAGATGGTGCCTGACCATTAAGAGCTTTGTAGGTAAGAAGAATGATTTTAAATTCTATTCTGGATTTTACTGGAAGCCAATGCAAAGAAGCTAAAACAGGAGAAATGTGATCTCTTTTCCTGGTTCCTGTCAGAACACGTGCTGCAGCATTCTGGATCAGCTGAAGAGTCTTAATGGACTTTTTCGAGCAGCCTGATAATAAGGAATTGCAGTAATCCAGCCTAGAAGTAACAAATGCATGGACTAGTTTTTCTGCATCATTTTTAGACAGGATGTTCCTGATTTTCGCAATATTACGTAGGTGAAAAAAGGCGGTCCTTGAAATTTGCTTAATGTGGACTTAAACGACATGTCCTGATCAAAGATAACTCCAAGATTCCTCACAGTGGTGCTGGAGGCCAAGGCGATGCCATCCAGGGAAACTATATCTTTAGATAATGCGTCACGGAGGTGCTTAGGCCCCAGAACAATAACTTCAGTTTTATCTGAGTTTAACATAAGAAAATTACAGCTCATCCAGGTTTTAACATCCTGAAGGCACATTTGAAGTTTAGCTAACTGATGAGTTTCATCTGGCTTGATCGATAGATATAACTGAGTATCATCTGCATAACAATGAAAGCTTATGGAATGTTTCCTGATAATATTGCCTAAAGGAAGCATATATAAAGTGAAGAGGATTGGTCCAAGGACAGATCCTTGAGGAACTCCATGAGTAACTTTGGCGTGCATGGAGGACTCATCGTTAACATGTACAAACTGAAATCGATCTGATAAATAGGACTTAAACCAGCTTAGAGCGGTTCCTTTAATGCCAATGAAATATTCCAGTCTCTGCAATAGGATCTGATGGTCAATGGTATCAAATGCAGCACTAAGATCTAATAAAACCAGTACAGAGACAAGTCCTTTGTCTGATGCAATAAGGAGGTCATTAGTAATTTTCACCAGTGCTGTCTCTGTGCTATGATGAGCTCTAAATCCTGACTGAAAATCCTCAAATAAACTATTGCTCTGTAGAAAGTCACACAGCTGTTTAGCAACTGCTTTCTCCAGAACCTTAGAGAGAAATGGAAGGTTAGATATAGGTCTATAGTTTGATAAAACATCCGGATCAAGTTTGGGCTTTTTCAGAAGAGGTTTAATTACAGCTACTTTAAAGTACTGTGGTACATAGCCTGTTGATAAAGATAGATTGATCATATCTAGTATAGAGGTGCTGACTAAGGGTAAAACATCTTTAAGCAGCCTAGTCGGGATGGGGTCTAAGAGGCAGGTTGATGGTTTAGATGAAGAAATTATTGAAGTTAGTTGGTAAAGATTGAGGGAAGCAAAACAGTCTAAACATGTATCTGGTTCTACAGCTGTTTCTAAGGTTCCTGAGTTTAGAGATAAGTCGGTGCCAGTTGAGGGCAGGTCTTGGTGAATTTTGTCTCTAATAGCTAGAATTTTATCATTAAAGAAGCTCATGAAGTCGTAACTACTGAGAGCTATGGGAATACTTGGCTCAATAGAGCTGTGACTCTCTGTCAGCCTGGCTACAGTGCTGAAAAGAAACCTGGGGTTGTTCCTATTTTCCTCTATTAATGACGAGTAGTACGCTGCTCTGGCATTACGGAGGGCCTTCCTATAAGTTTTAAGACTATCTTGCCAAATTAAACGAGAATTTTCCACTTTGGTGGAACGCCAATTCCTCTCAAGTTTCCGTGATATTTGCTTTAATTTGCGAGTTTCAGTATTATACCATGGAGCTAACCGTCTTTGTTTTAGTATTTTCTTTTTTAGAGGGGCTACAGAGTCGAGTGTCATTCGCAGCGAGCCAGCAGCACTATCAACAAGATGATCGATTTGGGAGGGACTGAAATTAGCATAGGAGTCCTCCGTTACTTTGTGACTAGATAATGTATTTAGAGCTGATGGAATCGCATCCTTAAATTTAGCTATAGCACTATCAGACAGACATCTTGTATAGAAATTTTTGCCCAATGGCGAGTAGTTCAGCAATACAAACTCAAAAGTTATCAAACAGTGGTCGGATAAAGAGGGATTCTGTGGGAACACCACTAAATGTTCAATTTCAATACCATACACCAAAACAAGGTCGAGGGTGTGGTTAAAACAGTGAGTCGGTTCATGAACACTCTGAGAGAAGCCGATGGAATCTAACAAAGAGATAAACGCAGTACTGAAGCTGTCATTCTCAACATCTACATGAATATTAAAATCCCCTACAATAATAACTTTGTCCGTTTTAAGGACTAAAGTTGACAAAAACTCTGCAAATTCAGATAAGAATTCAGAATACGGGCCAGGTGCTCGGTACACTATAACAAAAAGAATTGGTTGCAGTGATTTCCAACTTGGGTGCGAAAGACTAAGAACAAGACTTTCAAATGAGTTATAGTTTAGTTTAGGTTTAGAGCTGATTAATAGGCTAGAGTCGAAGATAGCTGCAACTCCACCTCCTCGGCCTGTGCCTCGAGGAATGTGAGTATTAATATGACTGGGAGGGGTGGATTCATTTAGGCTAACATATTCTCCATCACCCAGCCAGG